ACTCTATTGGTCTGCATCTACATCTGTGTGGTTTCATTGATGAATGTTCTCTACTGAGAAATATCAAAAAGGAGATGTGACTTTAACTAAACTGCAGTTTACTTTTAGCACTTTAAAAAAAATAAAATAAAAATTTAGTCCAAAACGTGTATGATTAATATGACATGTATGTATTTTTTTTTTCAAGAATCAGAAATTGATATTTTCATTAAAGCCACATCTTGCTCAGAATGCATGTTTAGGAGAAATTAAAAGAAACATAGAAAAAGATAAGAGGTAAAGGATCGGTCTGTGCTGTTCATTGGTCCATCACAAAAACAATTAAAGCAAAATAAATTCTGCAGAGAAAATTAAACCACCTGTTGCATTTAGTGGTTTTCTGGAAAAAAAAAAAAATACAGAAAAAAAAACTTTGAACCAATAAATATGTTCTTGTCTTTTAATTAATGCAGTTGATTACCTAAAAACCAAATAATAAAAACAGGGGGGTTGTATTATAAACCAACCCTATGTATAAGACATCAGATCCTTTATTAGAAGCTCTTATCTATTGTAATTATAATTTAATTATAACTACAACTAATGACAAATTATAACAAAGATTATAATATCAAATCAAACCAGTTAAATAAATCAAAGATAAATATATAAAACAGAATTGTGGGCTTAATTCAAGTCTGTTTAAAAGCTGCTTAAAAGTTTATTTTCAAACCTCACTTTTTACATCGGTTGCTTCACTGGAGCCACGTGCAAATTTATTAGTTTCTTTTTTTAAACTAAGAAATCAGATGTCAACTGGATGATGGACCAAACGTTTTTCAAAAGATTGTTTTGAGCTTTAAAATTAAACAAAATATTACTTTTGATTGTAATATTTAATTGGATTTTTTTATCAACCTTGTCCAAGCTTTTGTGCTTGTAGACCATGTTAGGTTGTTTAGGAATTACCTCGTTTACACATTTCTCCTCTTAAAGAAGTGTTTCAGTTTCTGCTCTCCCAGCCCAGACATGCTTACATAAAGAAAAACACAGACTGTTACCTTGAAAGCAACCCTGTGAGCCTCCTGCGACCTTCACATTCCCATCTCCATGCCTGCTTCATTGCATATTTTGTTTTAAAAAAAAAAAACCCTCCATCCACCCTATTCTACTCAGCACACTCAACATTGGTGCATAGTGGTGAGTTTGAGCTTCAATGGTATTAATTTTCCAACCTTTTCATTGATCATCTATTATAGGTTCACACGATAGCAGCACCTGATCAGCATTATTTCTAACATCAAAATCAGACGTTTGTTTCATTTTTCTCTGACTGACTGTGTTTTAATGTAATATTCAAGAGCTTAAGGGAAAATTATCTGTTTCCAAAAAAAAAAAAAAAAAAGGAATTGGAAACAAAACGGATGAAAGGAAGGTTGTTGGAGTAAGGATGGAAAGTAGGAAGCATGTTTCAGATGCATCACATAAATACTTATGAAAAGGAAAAATGCTACAGAGCATGAAGTCCATAATCATTAACATGTGTAGGGAAAGTTTGGCTCAACTGTCTAATTTAATGAAACTTTAAAAGCTTGGATTGGATTTTTCTTTATAGATTTTTTTTGTATATACGTTTTTCCAAAAGCATGTGGCTTGAGGCTGATGACTTCCAACAGAACTGGCTTTATCCTGAAACCAACATTCATTATGTGTCATTCAGCTGTAACCGCTGATGACAATTTTCAGAACTTTAACCGCAGCGCATGGAAACTTGTGGCGAGCAGCGTGGGCTACACACCCAAATGAGGGAGGGGAGGGGGGGTCACCAAGGAGATCAGATCTGGTGTTTACCAGTCATATGGGGATAAGGCTGGGCATCTATAAAACTGCTATAAAACACATTCCTCTATAAGTTCCTCATTTCTCTTTGTGGCGACAGTGGCGTCAGATGCAGGAGTTTGCCCTGCAACCAGAGAGGTGCCGGTTCAAGGTCTGATTTTCAGTGTTGTTGTGTCCTTGGCCAAGGCCTTTCACCCGCATTGCCTACTGATGGTGGTCAGAGAGACTGGTGTATGGCAGCCTCAGTGAGCCACAGGGCAGCTGTAGCTACAAGGTAGTTTGCCACCATCAGTGTGTGAGTGGCGTGTGAATGGGTGAATGTAGTGCAAAGCGCGTCAATTCTTCTGCCTTGAAAAAGCAAGTTAAGGGAATTTACCATTTTGTTCCTTCACTAAGTTTTTTACCAACTGAAGTTTTTTATATTCTAGAACAGAGATTTTCAACAGGGGTCCGCAAACCCCTAGGGGGTCCACGGAGGTACTGCATAGAGGTCGCCATTGTTTTTGTTGATTAGACTTTTTTTATATTTCCCCCCTGCAACTTTCTCCACCAATTAAAATGTCTTTAAATCCACATTAACATGAATTCAGCACACTGTAGTAAACAGATAAATGGAGGCAGAAGATGTCTTTCAGTCATCAATCCACACATTCATTGACACACAGCATCTCTTTCAAGCTGGGAACCGATTCATTCACAACACCTGTCCCATCAATGAGGAATCCGAATCAGAAATACTTTAAAAATCCAAGAATTACAACTCCATCTTTAATAGAGTGAATAGGACCAGTCTGATAGAACACAATTTCATACAATACATATAATTAGGGGGTCCCCGCTCCATCTCGCCAACAGTTTTGGCCTGGTCATTGGCCTGGAAAACATTGAAGACTAAAGTTCTAGTTATATAAAGTTGTATAAGTTATAGATCTAAAACTTTTCACAAGTTTGCATCAGTTTTACCACTAGCAGAAAGTGATATGTAAATGTGAAATGAAGGGAAGTGGAGACCCCATCCTTTCATTGTCTCATCGTGCATCCTTGCAGGGATGAAAGGCGCTGGTGTCTCCAGCCTCCTGTGGGAGGGTCAGGTAACACCCTGGAAAGGTTTTAAGTCCATCACAGGGCAACATGCGGATGCAAAGCAGGGACGACCATGCACACGCACACTCATTTCTAGTCTGAAAGTAAACCTAAAAGTTTTGTTTCTGGACTGTGGAGGTAACATAAAGTATCTGGAGAACACCAACATATGTAGAGGGACGACATGGAAACTCCAATGCTCTAAAGATGTCCAGCTAGGATTTTAAAAACCTGCCTTTTCAGTGAAATGCAAACAAAATGTTAGGAGCGCTTTGCATTTTTTATCTGCTGAAAGTCATTGGGTTGTAGAAAGAGCATGATACTGCCACCACCATGCTTCACCATGAGGTTGGTGACCATAGGTTGGTTCACACTGCATGTTGGCCACTCCATTATTTACAAATATTGTTTTTTGCTGTTATTTTTATGTGAGCAACTTTCCTCCAGATGTTTGCTGTTTCTCCAACATAGCTTAGTGAGAAACTGAGCAGCTTGAGGTGGAAGCATTCTGCCACTCCTTTAGCCTTAGGCTTCTTGGCTACTTCTCTGACTGATGCATGTCAGTTGAGCCATGTTTTGGTAAATTTCCAATTATTTTGCACCCCCTCTGTTTTGAGATTAAAGACTGAGCCATAAGACGTTCAATTAAGTCCAATAATCAAGTTAAGTCCACTTTAACTTGATTATTTGTCTTGGTCTTTATGATGCAGTTTAAACACTGATGATCTCTAATGATCTTAAAAATCTGTATTATACATTAAATTACATAAAAACTGATGAATTTGTGAGATATTTCAAAATATCTCATTGGTCCTTTGAAGTACTCCGAAACGATGCACTACTCTAGCAGAAAAGATTCAAACAGGTTTCACTGGAATCTGAGGTGAAGGACTGCATAGCAGTGACTACAACCAAAGCTCAGGGTGGAGCAGCACCAAATTATTGTGTTTGTTTAATATCAGAAGTCTTTCTCCAAGTCCAATAATGAAAACCAAATGTCTTTGGGAAAGGCCAGCGCATGTCGAAACCACAGAGGAAGAAGAGCAGCTGCTGCGCTTTTTCTTCCAGAAATCTGTGAATCTGATGATGTAATTTCAGCAGCTTTCTTCAAACAACAAGGAAGTAAATGTGTGCACATGTACGTTTAATGTGTTATATCTGCCATGAAACTGAGACATGTGCCATCTTGTTTTACTGCTGTGTTTCAGACAAAGCCTGGAGTGAGTCATGAGAACTGAGGTCCTGCAAGCTTTACCTCATGAACATTTCAGGAGGATCCCACATCCTTCTGTCAGCCTGTTGTGACTGATCTGCAGGCACATGCTCACTGTAAACAAAAGCAGCTTGCTGCTGCACCGAATCCCGTGCCTGGTCGTCTGGATGGAAATATTCAATCAATATAATCCACTTAACAGAGATAAAAGCAGATTACTTCAAGGTTAAACAACCTGTAGCCTCCTGAATGAATTGCAGATGACGTCCTAAATTACCCACTTTATTAAAACATGATCCAGTAGTAGCTCTGTCTGCGCGCAGGGATCAGCTTTAATAAAAGGATGGGATCCATTACTGTTTATTTCACGACATATCCTGAAATCCCCCTGCGAACGGGAAGCAGGTGGACTTATCTCCCTCCAAGTGGCCACTTCACAGTCTCCATACGTGCGCAAGCACGGATGCGCATTAATGGGCAGGAAAGGGAGGTTTTGCGAAAACACAAAGACAATGCGACCAACGTCTTATGCCGGTAAAGTCGTTAGGAGTTACAACCAAGGATGTCTAACAGGAATTCTTAAACGATCCACCCGGTGCCAAAGTTTCCCCGCTTCCCATTGACGCACGAGAGCGCATTGAGATGAAGGTTAGGGGTCCCTGCGGGGTCCTTCTCACTACGAGGTAGACAATTAGGATTATTTACTTCTAACCCGAGTTATTTATGGCATCCCATCACAGGATTGCTGCTTTTTTCTTTTTTCTTTTTTTTGCCAACTACCAATTAAGTTTCACATGCGCGACTCAAAAACAGACAGAAATCTTTAATAGTCTTAAATAAAAAAGCTAAGATCATCAAACACAAGAATGTTTTCCACGTCACTCACCTGAAGCTGCGAGTCCGAACAGGACAGCGAAAACATAGAGTCCTTTTACGCACATTTGGACGGCGGGTCAGCTGGGCGCGCGCTGATGGGGGGGCAAGGAGTCAGTAAAGCCACTCCACTCAAAATTCTTTCACAGACTGACTCACAGAGACAGTGAAACTCTTTGTAGAGGGATAAAAAAAAATCTAACAACAAAAAAACCCGTCGCGATAGGTCCTCTCCTTCGGCTTTCCTGTCCAAAAAGCGCATCCCAGCTCGCCTTCTGGCGTCAAACGCTTCCCTTCATGCGCCTTCCCACCATCATTCCGGGCGGAGTGAAAAGAAAAAGGAAGAAAGGGGAACTGAAGCAATCTTTGCTGCGCTCTCACATCTGCTCAGAGCTCACGAGTTAAACCCCAAACCAGTCATCAGACCAGTTCTGCGGCTGAAGGCGAAGATATTCCACAGATTGAACCATGACCTGGACAAATCTAATCCGTTTCAAACTTTCTCTCTCTCTCAAACCTTTAGGCTTTTTACTTATGGAAGAGGACTAGGGCCACTGAAAAAAACGAAAAGAAAAGTTAACTGATTTTTAAATTTTATTTCAGTTTAGAATGGGAAAAAGTCAGAATTCTGACTTTAATCTTCTGACTTTTTTCTCAGAATTCTGACTTTAATCTCAGAATTCTGAGAAAAAAGTCAGAATTGTGAGATTAAAGTCAGAATTCTGACTTTAATCTCAGAATTCTGACTTTTTTCTCAGAATTCTGACTGATAACAAACATGTTAGCATCAAGCCATGTCTGTTTTAGAGACTAGCTCTCTTGTTTCAATGAGCTCCTCCAATGAGGGGACCCCTCGGGCACGTAAAAAGTTGCCTAATTCCGTCATTTTCCACCAATGTGTAACAGAACTTCTCAAACAACTCATATCTTTGTCAGTGAAGCCGAGTGCTCCCACATCTCTTACTTCATGGTTCCCATACATTAAAGATGAGATTAAAGTCAGAATTCTGAGAAAAAGTCAGAATTCTGAGATTAAAGTCAGAATTCTGAGATTAAAGTCAGAATTTTGAGATTAAAGTCAGAATTCTAAGAAAAAAGTAAGAATTCTGAGATTAAAGTCTGAATTATGAGATTAAAGTCAGAATTCTGACTTTTTTCCCATACTAAACTGAAATAAAATTTAAAAATCACTTTTTTTTTTTTTCAGTGGCCCTAATCCTCTTCCGTATTTTTACTACATGCTAAGGAAGTCTGTGGAATTTTAAATGTATTCTCAAATAAATTGAATCTAAATTAAAGTAGTAAAAGTTTAACCAGGCCTTTTTTATATCTCTGGTTTTCTGCTTTCCATGTCTAATTCTTCTATGAAATATGACATCGCCAAGCAATGGCATAAATATTGGTGAGCAGAGACTGCAGTGGCTTGGGGGCCCCCGACCCCTTAGGGGCCCCATCACTGACACCTGGTAGACCTCCTTCACAATTATGGCTGAGTACATCTGAATGGAGACTTAATGGGGCGAATAATTCCTTTCAAACCTCACCAACTTTTAAACTGACTGACCGGACCTTATATATACCCCAACACATGTCAGATTTTAACATGATGGTGAGCCGTTTAAACCCGACATCAATAGCAAACAGACAGTGGTACTTTTATTTGCTATGTTAATAACTGTTTATAGTTGACTTGACGGTTGGTAAAAAATACACTCATATAATATGTTTTAAACCAAATCAAAGATCCTAAAAGAACAATGAATTTGAGTATTTTATTTTTACACTACGACTTGGAATTATGGGTAATCCAGAGTGTTGTACTTTCTATGGGGCCCAGCCAGATAGTGTTGGTTACGGGCTTATTGCTGTGTCGTTACGCCATTGTCGCCAAGTCAGCCACTTGATTTTATAAAAAGAACAGTTTCTATCATTGTCTTTTTATTTTCTATAGATTTTTATAGAAATCTGCCATTTTGAACGACTTTTTTATAACCTGTGCTAAGATAGGGCTGCAGCTTATGATTATTTTGCAAGTCAGTTAATCTGTTTTTTTGTTTGTTTTTTTTGATTATCGATTAATAATCGGATAGAAAATGGTTCCTTAAAGAAGAGTTTTTACAAATTTAAACCAAGACAAACTAAGACTTTTCCACAAGAGGAATTCTGGATATAGAATAGTGACAGACGTAAAAGTTTTTTTCTCTCTAAAATCTATACTCCAGTTCATGCCTAAATGAAAGTTAATTTATAAGTAAGAAAAATTTGGGTGTTTTTTTTTTTGTTTGTTTTTTTTTTTCAAAGACCACATGAATTTAATTAATTTCAGCTGTTACATGCAGGGAGGGATTATTCGTTGGTGATTAAAACATTTTCAGCATAAAACTTCATATTTGATTTGTTTAAATCGAGGACTTTAAACTATATTTACTGAATGATTTTACAGCTATTCAATTTATATTTCAAGAAATATGCTAATTTTGATGATGATGATGATGATAATAAAGTTTTAATCATGTTCAGCAGTGGGAACAGGAGTTAATAAAATAAACAAGAATCTGATTCTAAAACAACCCCATTGTAAAAAGGATAGGTAGAGTTAAGCCACATGAGGGCAGAGCTGCACTGCAGTGTCCACACGCCTTCAAATGTATGTGCAGGCTGACTTACATATGGAACTTTGGGAAAATGAATAATGGCTGTAACAAAAAAAAAAATTAATAGTTAAAAGTAACCTCTTAATTACAAAATTCTACAGAATCATATGCCTAAAACAGTAGATTTAAACACTGATCTGTTCGGTCATGTTGCAATCTTTTGTGGGACAAATGTCTGCTGTTTGTGCAGTGGTGGTGCAAGAGTAGAGCACACATTCCTAATATGGCAGACACAGCCACCCTGGGTCCTTTACTGTATGTCTGTATGAAACTGTATGAAAACGGGTACCTAAACTTTTTTTAAAAGTGGAAAAGATAGATTAATCACACCAGGATTGAACTGTACGGTTTGACATAGCGTAGCCAGTTAGGCTGTTATGCAAGAAATATTTTTAAAATGACAAACGGTACACAATATGTGACATGTTATCATAAAACAAACATAGCATTCTGAAAAAATAGAAGTGCCTTAGTTGGTGGAGCTTTGCTGCCGGACAGCCCACTAAGTCTAACTCTAAGTCTAAAGACTCTAATGCTACATTTCATAGGGGGGGAAAAAAGTTACATGTATTTCAGTTTATACAAACAAGAAATTAATGATTTTTTACATATTTTTGTAAAAAATTATCATCAGAAAAGTGAAAAATCACCAAATTTGTATTATTGTCTGATACATTGGAATTTGAACTGTTTATATTGGATTTGTTTGTAATTTGATTATGAAATGTCCTTTATTTGCCTTGTTTTGGTTAATTTTCCTACCACGAAGTAGTGGTATATAGTCATTTTCTTTAGAAGTAGGATTAAAAAAAGCAGTGCAGCTCCAATTAAGTCAGTGTAACATAATACCAGTGGGGTGTGGCAGAAATAAAATATGGAGGATGCATAAAGAAGAATAAACGCAGGGCAGCGGAGACAAAGGAGCAGCTGAAAGCAGAAACAGTCAATGTTAGGAAAGTAAATGTCTAAACACAAAAGCTTGTGTAATAATTAACAAGATGGGTGTGAAGGCAGAAAGTAAATCGGATGGAAACAGACCAGAGAACTGTGACAATAGCTAATAAAGATAAAACTGAAAAATATGTTATCAAAATCCAGTGAGATTAACAAAATGGCCAAAATCTTGACCAAAATGTTGAACAGAAGAAAAACTGAATAAACAGAAACAGTAACTGTAAGAGTAACTCTTTTAAATGTGAATATTTTTTCAGCATTGCAAAATAAAAAAAATGCAGCGATAGATTGACAAAATCCTTTGCTTTTTTTCTGCTGGAGGGAGGAGCTGTTATATCAATTAGCTGTTAGCTGTTCTCACAAAGACAGGGACTCCATTCTACTAGCCTGGGTGCCATTCCGAACTTAGTCCGGCCCACAAAGTTTGAGGTCGGGAAGTTCGGTCTGGCTCTGCTCCATAGTAGCGCGAGTATTATCGCCCACTGTCAGGCGATCCAATCAAATTGTCAGGACATGGAATTGTTGGACAGATGACCAACAGTAACGTAATCAACAACGTGACCAATGCGCGCTTGGGTGACAACAAAAATGGCTGCCGCTGGAGAGTTTAGGTGAGTAGATTCTGCTATTAGGTCTGTTCTAGAAGATATCGACAGCAAATTAATTTTAAAAGAGGAACAGAGAAACGCGATCAAGTCTCATCTTCTTATTATAGGCGTGCAACTGCACGCTTTGATTTTTGTGGACAACAACTATGCCTCGCTTTAACATACGTCACGCACTCCGTTGCTCTTATTGGTTGTAGGTCTATCCATTTGAGTGCAGAGGCATTTTTTTTTCCTGGTTCGTTCGAAACACGCCCCATAATCACAGCTCTATGGAGCAGTATCAGACTCATATTCTGACTAGAATTGAGTCGGACTACGTCAGGCTACCATTCTACATCAATCAGAGCTGAATTAATTCACACCAAACCAGATACATTTTTTTTTTAACACATTTGCTAACCGGAGGTTAATATTCCCATGTGTTAATGCTTTTTTTCTCTCTCTGATGTTTCAATGTATTAATAAAAAAAAAAATATAAAACAAATCTATGAAAATAGAAGTTTAGATACTATTTTTATTGTTTTTATGTTCCTGTATCTGTATTTTTGTATTTTCATCTTTTTTATTTATCTTTTGTATTTTCTGTAAAGGGACCTAGAGTTTTAAGAAAGGCGCTGTTAAATAAAATGTATTATTATTATTATTATTATTATTATTATTATAGTAGAAGAAGAAGCTGGGCAGATGATGAGAGCGGGGAGCCACACATATTGTTCCACAGTATGTCAGCACCACATAGAACATCACCACTCGAGCCAACCAGTGACCCTGGATGAATGGGTAGGTTTGGAAATCGCTAAAAGCATGAAAATCAGCTTTCAGGTCTGGAGATAAAGAGGCACTGAGGACAGCATGTGGAAACTTGAAACGTGCCATCAGATCAGCGAAGCAGAACCACATAACCAGCGATACCAGAAGGATATGGCAAGGCAGGTGATTAGTGACTACAACACTCCCTCCCCCAGGTAGATGCAG